AACGATGTTTTCGCATTGACAGTGTAATCTTCTTTTGTGAAATTTTGGAACATTTTAAGGTTGCAGAAATGCGCTTTGAGACATGCAAATTTAGAGGAAGTACCATTGAAATTTATAAAACAATATTTGCACTTGAAAATAGATATGTGAATCAACTGTCAAATGAAAGCTCACAATTGGTGATGAGGTGTTGTAGTCAGCAGAACGACCGTCATGAAGTGTAAATGTTTGGAAGATTCTGTTCCAGTGCTTAGTGGATTCTGCAGCAGTAATTTTTCAGAAAAGGAAAGAAACAGTTGAATAAATAGACTGTTTTTCAGAAAGTTTATCCAAACTCTGTATCCGTAAATTATATTTTACTAGTCGCAGCCAACTTTCTTTGTGATAATTGTTTTGACTAGAAATGGAAAGTGTGGTTGATTTTGCTTTTTTGAGAAGCTTAGATGGAGATAATTGAATGTTGCACAGTTATGCTGGCTGTATAAATTTTGCTCTCTTTTTTTTCGACTTTTTACCAATGACTGATCTGAGGATTTTGACGGCTACAGTGATGATGCATTGGAAAGCACTATGATTTACTTCTATTTTTTATGTTAATCTTGGTTTATTAAGTGAAATTAATGTTTCCAGCGACTAATTTACCCCATTTTTAATACTATCGCTTTGAAGACCTGGGTAATACCAAGCGGTGGATGAGATGATAATGATGATTAGTTTGACAAATTAAACAAATTGAACGATGTATTAATTTCCAGTGGATAAAAATGGCTGTCTGCATTGAGTGAGCAATAATTGAGAAGTTGTTTTTGGTTGATTATTGTAGCTTAAATTGCAGAAGAACTCTGTGGTGGCGGTGATGGTAGTTGTTTCATCTCTCCCTTCATACCTTTTCTTAACTCACTGGTGTCTGGTTGTTTCCATGGTGATCTATAAATGCGCTAAATGTTTGTGCTACTTAATTGCAGGTTTGCATTAGGAGTGGCTTTACAGTTAGTGAAAGGGAACAACGTTTATTGCATCTTTCTCCATCACCGTCATCATCTGCTTTCCCAATTTAAAAAAAAAAAAATGCGCGTTTGGTTACTTTTTTCTTTGTTTTTGACGAGAAATAGGTTGCTTTTATAATAGCTTAAAACAGCTAATGCTGGTCATCAAAAATCTGAAATCAGCAGAGGAAGTATTTTATCATATTGTTTAACCATTTTTCGAAGTCGTTTTACTAGCTTTCAAACTGACTAATAAATTTTCTGCCTTATGTGATTTCAATTGTCAATTTATCGCTGCTAAATCTTTTTTTTTTTCTATTTTATTACACATTCCAACTTTAGAGGAGCTATTTCCAGTCTTCTCCTCTCATTATGGTTGTTAGGCCACCGGTTGAAAAATGGACTCGTGATGAACTTGAAGAACAGTACTGTAAATTGTTTCAAGTTAATTACTCGCTAAAAAATAAATATAATGAACAGGAAACTAAATTGAAACAGTCAGTTTTGGTTTCAAAATTTTTATTGGTTAATTACTGTAATAATACTAACAATAATGTTAATAAGAGTAATATTAATAATAGTAATAATGATAATGGTAATGGTGGCAATAATAATAGTAGTAATAATAATAATAGTAATAGTAACAGTAGCAGTAATAGTAACATGAACAGTAATAGTAATAGTAATAGTAATATTAATAGTAATAGTAATAACAGTAATGGTGATAGTGACAGTGGTAGTAATAGTGATAGTGACAGTAATAGCAATAGTAATAGGAATAGTAATTGTAATAGTAACATTAATAATAATAATCACAATAATAACAATAATGATAATAAAAATAATAAAAATAATAATATTAATAATAGTAATATGATTTTTCAATATATTTTTGACCATTTTTGGTGCAGCAGTTTTTGATCAGTTAACGATGAGGAAGGAAAAAATCACATTGAAAGAGTTGATTCATTGAATTTAGAAATTTATTTTATTAACAACATTTTATGCACATTCACTCAATTGCTTGAAGATCATTTAAATTAAATACTTTGGTGCGGTTTAGGCTTAATGCAAAGTTGCAACGATTTTCTAAATCATCAGATATCTCGGAAGATAACAGTTACTCAAAGAAGTACGAAGAGTTACAAAAGCAGAACCAACTTTTAAATCAGAAAGTAACAAAATAAATATCTTCCGTTTTGTTTCAAAGCCATGTATCTTTATTTTTTTCTATTGAAGGTTAATTACACTTTTCAAAACCCCTTTGCTGTTTTTATTCCCAAGAGTGACATTATAGTTACAACTTACAAAACAACAATTGATCAGCTATGTTAGGCCGACTTCACGACTTAGCCGCCGAAATTCACCTTATGTAAGTATTTCTTGGTTTTTTTTATTTTCTACGTTTTTTTAAAATTTTAATTAAATAATGTCTGTCAGTGAGCACTTAATTAAGCGTCGTAATGAGGCATGAAAGTGCGATTATTCACTATCTTAAAGAATTAGAGTCTTAACAGTTACGAAATTTTTGACAAAAATATTAGACTTTCTGCTAATATGCAAAAAACTTTAGTTTGTACAAAGCTCATCTTTAATGGCTCTTAAGAAAAATTTGGAATTGTTCAGAAAAGCAAAAGAAAATATGGAGGAACTGATTCAAATAAGTTGCTCTTCTGTTTAAAAATTAAAAGAGGCTTTTTTTTTAAGGTCACTAAGAGAAGTCTTTCACCAAACAGTGTGTCTTCAAATAAAAAGCAAAAAACAACCGAAGAAACAACCAGCGACAGTGGGAGGCGAAACCTGTCTCAGACGGACACAAGGTTAGCAGCTTTTCTGCGAATTCTGTAGGGGATTAGTTAAGAAAGTTCTTTCAATTGTTGGAACGGAGATGTTTCAAAAAACAGGTCATTCTGTTTAAATTTTTAAGGCCTTCAACATCGTCATCGTTAAGCCAAGAGAGAAGAATTGTGCATGAGAAGAGGCGAAAGGTACCTGAAGAAAAAACCAAGCAAAGGTAAAAATTTTCAAATGCAAGCTTGATTTCTTGACTTTCTGTAAAAATTTTTGCAATTTCCCATTTGAAATTCAAAAGAAACCCTACAAATCAACTTGATATTCAGCTTCATATGAAAGAAGTGGAAGACTGTTACTGAGGTGTGTAGTTGCGTATTTTCCTTCTTAATTTCTAGTGGCATAAGTCTACAAGAAAAAGTATCGCTAATAAAAATTAACAAACAGCTTTTGGAGAAGACGGACGAAGTAGCAACACTGAAGTGGAGACTTAAAAGTGTAAACGAAGTCAGCATTTTAAGATTAATTAGTAAATTTATTTGTTCATCTTCACTGCACGCAAAAAATATTTTCAGTACGACTTCTTAAATAGTCTAGTTTCGTGAAAAAAGTTTTTTTAGCAGCTGAATAAGTTAAAAGCTGAGCATGATACGATGGTTGAAGAATACGATGGCATTAACAAGCGATACAACGATAATCAGCAGGAACTGAAGAGTTTACAAATCAAAGTTAAAGAATTATCGACAAAAAGACCAGAAAGTCAAGTTGTGGAACGTGAAGAGACGGATCTCTTGCGCAAAGAGATTCAGACATTGAGAGAAGAAAACGAAAAATTAATTCAAAAGTAAATTTGATTTTATCGAGCTTCTTTCCAAAAGTACGGATCCAAATAAATGAAGCTTATCTCTGACAAGTCGGAGCAACTTTTTTACCAGACAGTAAGTGGCCCAAAAACTCAATTTACAGTTCTTTAACAGCAGAACCGTCGAATGATTCACAGAAAGAGCTGTTGAAACGAATTGCTGAACTCGAATCACATCTTGATGAAGCAAAGAGTCAACAAACGTTCCTGATGAATGAGTTGGAGCGGCACGTCGAACAGGCAGCAGCTGAAGCAAAAAAAGCTACTCATATTAAACCAAAACCGGAAAAAGAACCAGAAGAGAAGCCGATAGAGGTCAGCAACTTCTAAAATTAAATTTTCCACTACTAAAGGATCATTATATTTATAGTCAGTGCATCTATAAAACAAAAAATTATTTTTTCTAAACTTTTTATTATTGGAAGTAAGTGGTTTTTCAGGAAGCTTCAAAGGGCGTTGTCCTTGACGATGTTCGAAGTATCGTTGATTCTCATACTGCAAGTACTTTAATCACTGATGAAGTAATGCAGAACCTAAGCGAGGGTGATCAGATTGACAGGTAAATACAGAAAAAATATTTTTTTTTTTTTGGAATTGCTATTATTGGTTCAAAAGCACGCTTTTCAATTTTTTAATAATTATTAGTCGTGCTTTTATGTGGCAAATAGTGCTGCCAACTGAGACTGGTAGGGTTATAGAAGTAAGCTAACTTTTTTATTTAGGTGGAAAAAGATTTACATGGAAATCTATGCAGAATTGGAGAAAACGCGAAATATGCTTTTGGTACAACATAACATCAATCAGCAACACGTCGATGAAGTGGGTTAAATTTATGAGTTATATTTTTTTAAAGAACTTGAAGCCATCAGATTATGCTGCTGAAATTTTACTTTTTGTTTCAAATTACATTGAATTATAAAAACAGTTATATAAAAAGCTTTCTATTTAGATAAAACTCTTGAACACAAACTCCGAACACAACAAGGCTCTGTATGAGCAAAAGCTATCTGAAATGTCAGAAGAAATAGAACAGCAAAAAAACCAAATTCAAACTCTTGAAAGACAGTTGATGATGATCGCCCATACGGGACAAATGCCCTCCACTGTAATTCAGCTCGTAAGTTTTTGAAAATAAGATACGTAACAAATTTTAAAATCTTTATATCCAAATGACAAAAACAGTAGGCTGATATTTAATAGCAAAATAAATTTATCAGCCACGCTCTTTTTTCAGAAATATGACACAAATAGTGAAAGTAACGAAATGATTTTCAACCTGAAGAAGGTGATGGTGAATGAAGAGTGCTTAAAACACTTGGGAACGCTACAACCAAATTTGTTCTTCTCAATTGAATTTTTTGATTTCGAATTGCAAACTACTCCAACATTTTTTGGCCCAGAGTATTATATTATTTGTTTAGTAACATTGCCTTTACATTTTGTATTACTTGAAACATGGTTAAAAAATAATTATCAATCAATAATCTCTTAAGTATCTGCAAAATTCCGGCACATGATTAACTAAAAATTAACAATGAATTGCAGGAAGGAACTAAATTTTTCTACAATATACGATATTGTTGTTTCAAATCTATTTATTCATTATATACATACGGTAAACAGTTCCGCTTTGCTAAAAACTTATTTTAAACAGTGTTTCTCAAAGAAGGTGATGAAAAAGTTTTGAAAGGGATTGGGATTTTTTAGAATTAGAGAGGAGAAAAGCACTAAGGGGCACGAGGTAAAGTGATGTGCGACAAAGAACGACGGAAGAACCCGGATTGTGGCTTTCGTTTACTAAGCCTCAGAAATGGGAAAACCAACATAAGTCTGCAAGAAATGAGTTTTGAGTTAAAAAATAAACTCAAGCTTTGGACGATACAGTGAAAAACTTTTCAGAATGTTTCATGGTGCTCCTAAAGAGCTCAGGGAATATAGATATAAATCTGAAATAAGCAAGAGTGCTAAGATGGGCGTGGCTAGGCGATTAAGTGGTGGTGAAAAAAAGATTGATAAAGAACTTGAGAAGCACTGGATTAAATGCGATTGAAAAATTATGACTTAAAACTTTTATAAAAAATGATTTTTTCACTGATAATTATTTTTATAGAAAACAATGACCTTCAATTGTTTACTATTTGAATTGTTTTAGGATGGCATTCAAATCGAACTATACCACTCGCAAGGTGCCAACTATAGACTTTGTGCTATTGGTTCAATATCACTTTTACCCCTGCTCTCGCAGGAAGAAGGAACAAAATTGTCAGGAAGTTTAAAACTACTGTCACCTAACAACGGACAGATTTACGGAGCACTGTTATATGACATCTCAGTTAAAGATGACATTGTTAAGGCTTTAGCCTTGCAAAAAGTAAAAGTTGCAATTTTTGGTAAATTACTGAGTGAAAACTATACTGAAGCAATCGATTTTCAGAATCGCCTTGCAGCGTCGACACTTTTATCACTCAAGAACGACGGGAACGCTGAAAAAAATAACAGCACTTTAAATCCTCAATTAGTTGTTCAAATCCATCGGTGTAACAAGCTTAGCACGCTTACGAAAGGTTACTCGTAAATTAGAAATTTAATGACGTAATTAACCGCTTTTTTGCATACTCAATTCAAAGAAGAGTGGTTGTTGGGTTTCTTTGAATAGTTTCCCTTTTTACCGGAAGTAGCCGCTTAAAAGGATTTCTTCAGTTTAGGTGCTGCTCTTCAGGAGTCAATTTACTCTTTCCTTTAGTAGGCTCAAAATTCTATTGTCAGTGAGACCTGTGAAAAATATTATCCTTGCTAAGTGGGAATTACTAGGTCCAATGAACTTTATTTTTAAACCTCAAACTTGGGTAATTAAATCATAAGTATTATTAGACTAATTACATGAACAGTGGTTACATTTTAAAAGTTATTATACCGAGCAAATTGTACACAAAACGGAGATAAATTTACAAAGGATACAAGCAATGACACAACTAAGTTAGGCATATAATTATACGTATTTTTATTAGAAGTATAAAGAGAGACAGGAGTTTATAAGGAAAGAAGCAAGAATGATCCAACTCAAATTCAGGATTCTTTTGTATAGTATATTAAATGACCTCCAGTTATCGAGATTAAGACGACCTGATCCGGATAATCTTTTTGTCTGTTGGCAGTTTATGCCATAGTTAAAGGAATTTGTAACAGCTAATTGATTGTGCCTATGATTCCTTATGTGAAGAAATGATTAATCTTGAGGTCAGAGCTAAGGCCAATGTTGTCAAAGTTACAGAAAATAACGATAATCCCAGCTGAACTTCATCATACTGACCATGGTTCAGCTGATTAAACCATAGTGATGAACAGTGCTTAAAGTAAGGGTTAACGTTTGTGGCCTGACTAGAAAGTGGCTTGTGCAAACATGTGGATAATCATCCTCCCTTATTTCTTATCTCGCCTTTTAGCGACATCTAATATCAACAAAAACCATTTTACTTTAAGGAAACGTTCCACCGTCGAGCTACGTGGTTTATGAATTTTATGATTTCGCTGCCGTATCAACAGAAGTTGTCTACAAAAACGCCAATCCGGAATACAACTTCACGAGAGTTTGGACCTTATCGAATGGTCCAGAGCTTACTGCATATCTACGTGTCGCTGTATGTGTTCGTGATCAGTAATTCTTTTTTGCTTTTCCGCTATTAAGAGTCCAAATTGCAGCACCCCTTAAGCTAGGAAAGGGTAAAAGAAATATAATTTTGAAAGGGCGCAGTACTGAGATACCAATTTTTTATTTGTCCTCAAACCTGGTTGATTTTAGGAAATACAGTTTGCTGTTATGGAAGAAGTTGTTGACGAGGGTGTATTAGATCGACAAATGGGATACGTATCAATACCGCTTTATCCCTTGAGACATAACAAACCAATTGTTGGAACTTTTTTTGTCTCAACGGTATTAGTTAGATAACTTTTCTATACTTCAGCACTTCATTCTTCGAATACGAGGTCGGTTTTTCAGTTGAACAAAGAACCAACAACCGCCACCATGGATATATCGATTTACTGGAAATACGCTTTTACAAAAGACGGCAATGAACCAGTTAGCCCAACAATACTTCAAAAAGAAGTTGGTTTGAAGTTTTATTCGTAGGAGCAGATAATATGTTGATAATGATGATTTTATCAAAACTAAATGCAATAGAGGAAACAATTTCACACACTCAAAAAATCCATTTTTAAACGTAAAAGACGCTAAATCCCATAGAAATATGACGCTCATCTGCTATTGTTATTATTATTATTATTATTATTATTATTATTATTATATTATTATTATTATTATTATTATTATTATTATTATTTTTCATTATTATTATTATTATTATTATTATTATTATTATTATATATTGTTATTATTATTATTATTATTATTATTATTATTATTAATATTATTATTATTATTATTATTATTATTATTATTATTTTTTTATTATTATTATTATTATTATTATTATTATTATTATTTTATGAAAGTTTTTAAAGAAGACTAAAGGAAAGACAAAATGATTAATCCTTTGCAGGCTATTCGAGAGGGAACTGACACTTCTACTTCTGAAACTGTAAGTAATACTACAAAAACATATGAGGGACCGGAAGAAAAGGCTTACACCAAAAAAGACCTAACAGCAAGCGACCACGACACATCTATTGAAGATTCCAGCACTTCTTCTCAAAGTCCTAGTCTAAAGTCAGAGCAGCTGTCGCTAGGAGAAGAGGATGAATCAGAGCCAGAAAACGATATGGTACGGCAGCAGACAATAAATCCTGATGAACGGTAGGAAGATTATCTTAATCCAGAGATAATGAATTTCAGTTTCTGCTGGAGAAAGCACTTTATTTACACCCTCAACAATAGCCTTGTTTATTTTTAAGGGAGAAATTCAACAATTCAAATGAAAACAAAGGAGCTATCAAACAAATAATAGTTGCCACCAAATTGCTTAAGTCCGAAAACATCATAACACCTTTGTTTCACATTTCGAGAATGCTGTAATTCACTTTTTTTCCGGTTATTCAAGAAGAACTGTTAAGGGTGAGCACGGGATCAAGGTCAACAACGGAAACTACAGAGGAAGAAGTTGAAACGCCTAAAGGGGAAGAAGAAGTTGTAGAAGAATCGTCAGATATTTCAAAATCTACAAATATCAGTGAAGATTTTTCAGAAAATAGGTGTAACACTTCAAAAGACGATGGTCCAACTTCAAAACCCAAAAGCATTTCTTCAGACTGGGTAATCAGTACTGCTATATTCTTAAGGACTGCTCAAAAGGCGTAAGAGGAAAAAACAGAAGTGCAAAAGAAATCGAAATTTTTGCTAAGATTCTGGCGATTTTTGATTATACTTTAGGGCCCAACTCCGACCGGTGCGTCAGAAAGTAGCAAAGCCGTTCCAACAACGCCTGTACCAAAACCGCGCTTGACGGTACTTCCTCTGCTCAAATTATCAGTGGTTTACTAGTCTAGTGTCATTAAATATATTTTTTCCAGCAACAAACAGCAATCGACCAAAAATACTGTTTATTCTAATAACATTGCAGCGTGTTCCTCCTGTAACCCACAAAGTTCAGACTTCAGAAACAGACGAAGGAAAAATGGTTCGCCCAAAAATAGTCGAATTTAAAGACCCGCTTCACCAGTCCATCTCTTGTATCATTTAAACATTCCTAGGGAAATTTTGCAAGTTGATTAATATAAATTAGAATTTAATATTGTCAGACGACTAACAAAAGCGGTAACTTTTAAGTTGCTGCTTCCTGTGATTGAGGCGGTTATTTTCAGTTAGTGAAGCAAGCAACGATTCTACCGAAAGTTCAGTAGAAGGGTCTGAGTCGCGCTCTCAGGTCGATATACCGGTTATCTCCGCATCAAAAGCATTCACCAAACAAGTTGAGGTTCAAAACATAATCTTCTGCAGAACGATTATTGGAGCAGCCATCCTTTGAAACTTTTTAAAATTTTATTACGTTTTTAAATGTCAGTAATTTTTAATAGTAGCATCAGGAGAGAATGCTGCAGTGCCAGTTGTAAACCGAAAAGTTTTAATAAATCCATCAAATTATTAAGGACAACGAGCCCATTATCGCCGGATATGAGATAACGTTGCGTGTTGGGAGACTCTACTTGTCTGAAGGTTCCCCCTTACTAGCTGCGTCGTACAAAGACTTTTACATTACCGTGGAGTGGAAATTTTTGGATTTCCCATCGGAACAGTGTGAAACGCCAGCAGCATTACCAGTTCCACGAGATCTTGGTGTTCCTGCTGAATTCAACTTCGAACGAAGTTAGTATTTTCTAGCTAGTTGCTGCTTTGTTGTTCTAAACCGTAAAAAAACCATTTAGCAATTTAAGAGTCAGTGCAAGTACTGATTTTAATGGCAAAAAGAAAAATATTTCCTTCCCAAGTAGAAATAAATGTGCTCAGATAATATGTACTTAATCGTTAGCAATAGAATTTTTTTAGCATATCAGCTTAGTGAAAGGAGAATAAAGCTGCTCAAACAGTGGATCGAATTGTGTAACAGGTACAACAAGTATTACTTTAAGGCTTCAAACCATTTGTTTTACTTCCACTCAATTCCAATTTTCTTTCGTTGAAATTGCTGCGAAATCTGGCTTTAAGTTAACACGTAACATATCATTTCAGATTAGAATTTGTTATGGTTGGCACAAACAGTTCAGAAAAAAGTGATGATTTAGGGGTGGCTCAGTTAAGCTTACAACCAGCTTTAATTCGCAAACATCAGCTGACCAGATGTATTTTCTTTCATCAACATATCTGCAATCCTAAATTCTTTTCATATACCTTACCCAATCAAATGTGACTTTTCCTTGAATATCCTTCATTAAACCTTCCTTTCCAAAACATCTTGATGTCATTGTTTTAGTTTACGACATTGACAGCATTGAAATGGCTACTATTGAAATTTCAATTGGGTATTCAAACAGGCTTTACGACGCTATAAAGGCAGCAGGCTGAACAAAAATGCACTCTATAATTTTAACCAAATAAGGTTTGCAGCGTAACAGCAACTTTCACTCAGCAACTAAAAGCTACTTAATAATCATAAAGCAACTTTTCTTCTTATTTCAGGTTCCTCCACAAAGTAGCCGTAATACTTAGCTGAAAATTATGAATTGTGGTACAGAACAAAGCGAAAATATAGGATTTATTAACAACTGTGTGCCTCAACTGCTGTTCAATGCCATGGTAACTGAAGAGACTGCTTTGATCATTCGGACATACGCACAAGATCTTTACTGAAAGCATTTCTGAGCAAAAAAATCATACAAACTTGTAGAAATGAATGATAAATTCCTTATTGCTCTTTTGTTTTTCTTTTTTTCATACTTTCCTGTCACACCACTTGCTTGTTATTTCCCAATCATATCAACCTGCCAACAACTTCGGTCCTAAGCCTCACTGTTTGTATGCCGCAGGCATATCTACACAGTGGCAAAAAAAAATAATTGCATTAAAAAACACAAGTAGAAGGTTTTTAAAGCTTCATAACATCAATTCTTGTAGATAATAAAACAAAAGATGCTAGTTACTGCACTTTCTAGACAAATTAATCAGGTTCCGGTTAACAAAAGTTGTCACAAAACTATACATACAACGGTCAATCACATATCGGTAAGTTTTTTCACATCCTATTTTCGGCCCAATAAATAAGTAATATGCGCTTAAAAAAGGCGGCTTTTGAAACCTTCTGACAGACAAAGTTTATATTTTTATATATATGTGCCATTTCATGGCGAGTAGCACGCTTTCTTCCCCTCATATCTTAGATTTTTCTACAATTTTGCTGAGTAGCATAGATTAGACTATTATACAGAACACCGGGGGAAAAAAACACGAAAAAGTGAATTCTCCGCTACCCTCAACGTTACAAAGTTTGTCCTCCAGAGTCGCTTTTGAAGGCTGCAGCGGGCGATTACCAAAATCCAGTGCTTTAAAACGTTGAAAATCTGTTGCAAAAGTTGTACTTTACTTTAATTATATTAAGGAATTATTTTGCTGCAGAGTTATAAGAGAGCGTTTTATGCTTCTCGTGCTTTATTCTTTCAAAATGACAAAGCTAGCACACATTTTCATATTGCAAAGAAGTCTCAGAACTCATTGCTTCACCTAGTTAGCAGTTAAATTAAAATTTTTCTCAAAACCTTCTGTGTTTCTAGAAAACTACAGTATAAACTTTCAGAAAAGAACAAGTCAAGCTTCTGTTCGTTTGTGCAACCAAAACTTTAATAAGTGCAAGATAGTGGCAATTCTAAGAAACCACGACATATAATAAGTACAATGAAGAGTACCTTTTACAACTCTGCAATACAATAATTTGTTAATATAATTAAAATAAAGTACAACTTTTGTAACAAATTTTCAAAGTTTAAAGCTTGCCGGATTTCTGTAGCTGCTCACGGCGGCCTTCACGGCTCCAAACGGTTTCGACACTGTAAAATATATATGATTCCTGTAAAATTAGCAATTTTTTCCAGTTTTACATTCCATTCCGGCTTGTAGCTCTTGACACTGGAAAACCGCTATCACCAAATTTTGATATGTTGCAGAGCAAACAATTCTACACACGACATGTTTTTTTTTTTAAGAAAATTCAAAGATTTGTCTTTTTTCAGTGTTCGTTTGAAATCTTATTTTTGCCGTGTCTATTTAATGGCAAAAAGCTATTTTTTTTGAAACGTTAGAAAGCGTTTGAAAAAATAACCGTCACCGTAATTTTTTACAAATAATTTTTCAGACTGAACTGTACAATGATAAAATACTGTGTTATAGGCACTTTTAGAAAAGCTTCAAAATGGCCAAGAAATATGAGAATTTTAAGTAATGGAGTTGCGCAGGAAGTTGATTTTAACCCTTAACGTTTCTCCGATTGTGGCTAAAAGACGCTGTCACTAAAAGCCACGCTATTCACCACTGAAAATCCTCCATTAAAAAAGTCTGAAAGTTCTAAAGCAAAACTGCAGCACTGGACTGTTCGACAGTCCGCTATGAGTGTAAAGACAAGTTAAAAATGTCAATGTTGAGTTACGTGGGAGTCAGAAACCCAATACAAAAAAAAAATGGAGGATCATCAACGAAAATGCATGTTTGGTCGCTGTCACATTCATAGCTGCAATACCGTCGTATTTCTGAAGTGACCAAGGATTCATTTTACAACAAACAACGTAACTTTCAGTTGGAAATTATTATGAGTGAAAATACGAGATTCCCAGATTTCTTCAATCACAGATGCAAACCATGACTAGTTTCCAAATTAAAAATGCTGAAGAATGTAATAAAATTTGAAAATACATCTTAAAACCAGATCTTCAAAAAGAGAGGAATGAGGTAGACATAACTGAAACTGTGCTAGGCAAACAAGGACGAGGCATATTAACTATAAAAAAAAGATCAAATTTCCAAGTGTATACGCTAAACTTAAGCGGCCCCCTCTGTTCTACTAGCCAAACAGTCCAAAAACACAAAATAAAGAAATTCGCACTAGCTTATGCTTAACATTCAACCATTTTTAACCAAACACTAAACCTGCCAGAACCTTTACCAATTTTAAGTCATAAACCTTGTCCGACTGCACTTAAAGGACCACGAACTTCCAGAGGTGAAATCACGTAACGCCGTTGTGGAAAATTGCCAAAGTATAAGTCTTCGTGATGATGCATGGGACTACTCGAAAAACACTTGATGGGGATTTACAAGAATTTCTCGATCGGGGTCTCTGCATCAATAATTTTTTTCTTATTCTTTTGCAGTTCAGTACTCGCGTGCTGACGGTTTCTTGTATGACAGCGATGAAAGCTTAGTTATTTGTTGAACAGCGGTTTGATATTATCTAAATACGTTAGAAATTATTTGAATGATTTCCCGTAATCGGTGATGTACCATTATGAAAAATTTCATAAAAAGTTGGTGTTGTCGTCTAGAAACTGGTGGCTGGGGGCAGTACCAGGCGTAAACTTGACAACTTTTAAAACCCTGTTGCTCACAACGACAGTTGTTGATTATTCTTGCTATACTCGTTAAGCAAAGGTCACTTTAGTCAATTGCAGTTGCTAGAACTTCTGTGACATTTTATTCGTCAAAGGCAGGTATTCTTCTGCGGAGCTTAATTCAGAACGACAACTTCTTTGTAACTATCGGTGAAAAAAGTCCTTTCCAACTCCCCTGAGTCCATGGCTGCTAATTTTGGATACGGATTCTAGGTGTTTATTGATTCGGATCCACCATGTTCTCGTTACTTCCATAAACGTTGTTTTTATCCACTCAGTATCTCTTAGCGCAGTCCTAACGGGATAATAGTTCATCAAAGTTTTAGTCAAGCCTCGGTTTCCTTCATTAAACTTTTCAGGTTTGTAGAGTGCATTGGCCACTTAATGAGTTTGTTGAGCACCGATGATAGTGGAATTGGAGAGAACTTCCAAGTTGGCAACTTATTTATTTATTTTTCTCAATACTTTTTTCTTTGCTAGGAAGCATTTAATTTTTTTCACGCAACTTTTGATCAGAAGTTTCTCATGAACTTGTTTTGAGATGATTGTCTTGGGCTTCTTTATTAACAGAAAATGAAGATTTTTTCAAAAAGAGTATGAGATTTTAGTTTTATAATCTTGTTTTAAGTGGCTCCAGAAACTGACTTGATTTTTGCAGGAGCAGAAGAATGAACTGTTGGCTTTGGAAAGCATCTATTCAGATAGACCTGAATGTTTGGTATATAATATCGTAGAAAGGGAAAAAGAGTTTCATGTCAGCGGGTCAATTGTTATTCGCTTACCGGAGCTTGAGAAACCGTTAACAGTGGAGAAAAGTGGTATAAAAAATTATCCATTTAAAAAGCCTTTTTATCAGTGTAAGTTTGCAAAGATGAATTAAAGGTCACTAGGTAGAACTTTAAAAAAGTTTATAGTTAAACAAGAAGTATACTTGTCATTAACTCTTCTTTGGTTCAGGGTTGGAGCCACTTAAACCGTTCAAAGTAAATTACTTACCACCGATCACACTGGAATTTGAATTTCCACACTTGTATCCTTCTCATAGCCCTCCTACATACAGTCTGCGAGGAGCTTTTTTGAACGATGATTTGGCACGCATTTGACAGATCTTTAGCTCTTCCTTAATCGTTTGCTAATAATTTATTTATTGATTTATTTTACTAATGTTCATCATATTTAATTTCGCGAATTGGTTTAGGTCGCTAATTTAAGAGCAGTTTTTGGGCAAATCTGGAAAGAATATTACGGAATGCCTATACTGTTCACTTGGGTACAGGCTGTTGAAGAGAACGCCGTCAAATATTTTGCGGCAAAAGAAGTGATAGATCTCGATGAAATTCTTGCAAGCAGAGTGTGTGTTCATGGATTCCTAACTCCTAAATACAGTGCTGTGTTCTAAAGTCTTTGTTTTTCCCTCTTCGTTTTTAGGCTTTTACAGTGCCCGCTACTGACGATCCTCTGGAAGTGCTTCAAGATTATCAAGAAAAAGCAACTGAAGAAAAATTTAAAAAGGGATGGTACGATTGTGGGGTATGTTACGATACCTTATTCAATTGGAATATGGGATTACTAAATTTTATATCTAGTACAGAGGTTTTGCTTTTTTTATTCGAATATAGGTGTGTTTCGATTCACGTTGTGGACTTGAGTCGATTCGTTTTGCACCTTGTGGACATATCTTCTGCATTGACTGTGTATCTGCGTTTTATCACCAAACGCTAGCAGACTCAACAGTTAGTTTTGAAGTTTAGTTCCAGTTTAATACTATTTTTTATTTTATCTAAGTCAAAATTAAGTATTCTTAATGTCTTTTTCTTTCTAAATGTTTGCCTTGTGAGCGCTGTAGTAACCTAAGGTTCTTAAAACTCTCGCAGAAACGATACCAAGACGTACCTCACTTTTCAGCAGTATGTTATAGAGACCTAGAGGTTTTGATGTAGTTTAGGTGAAGTGAAAGTTGGGAGGCGAGGTCAATTTCTCTTTTGTATCTGTCTTTCTTTGATTTAAGGACTTACTGAATTTATGAAAGATAATGCTTTGTTAAATTTAGTGGCTGAAAGCTTGCTTAGCGTTTTTTTAAAGCCAGAATGTTAGACGAGTCTAATTCATTGCTTTTGGGTTTTAAAGGTGTTTAGCTATGAATCATGTCGTTTGGTATGCAAAAAATTGGTTCAGTTTCAGCTCTTTGTTTCAAATTTCTTATCTGCTTTTATAGGTAAAACGCTTGGAGTGCTTAAGTGAAGGATGTAACAGCTTTGCCTCGCAGAGCCAGTTACGAAGAGTCCTTTCGCCAGCCGAATTTGAGAAGTATGAAGATCAGCTGTTAGAAGGGGCGCTAGATTTGATGAGTGATGTCGTCAAATGTCCTCGTTTGGATTGTCAAGCACCTGTGATTTTAGAGCCAGAAGGTGAAAGCAGCAGCCAGCAAAGGTTGTTCATTCACTTATTCTTCTCTCATTGTGCTCTGTGGATATCATTCCTATTTTCTCCTTTCGCTATAATGCTCAGTTAACCATTTTTAAATGGATACTGAATTGTTTCCTGTTGTAATCAGTTGTATTTTTAAATGTAGGATATAAGCTGAAAATGGATAAACAAGTTTGTTTATACGTTTACTTCACTTTATCTTCCTCTGTCATTATTAATTACATGACAGCTTATTACTGACTTTCTCTTATGTTACCTTGTACCTCACCATGTTTTTAAAACTTCTTTCAGAAGGCGTAATTTGGTTCTTTTTTACTACTTATCAAGTTACTAGCTTTTTTACTTCGTTTCTGCAGTTGAAATTTAGCGGCCTTTAAAAGTGTACCTATTTTTCAAGGAATGATGGAACTTGCTTTGTTAAGTTTGACGGATGCGCTGAGTGGTTCAAAAAACTTCCACCCAAGTTTCTTTTTCTGAAGAATACAAATTTACGTAGGTATTGTATCGTATTAAGGAGATGAAAGATTTATATCTTCTCTAATTTCAGTTTTCTTTCAAAATTTTCTTCTAAAAAAGTTTAATTAACATTTGTCATGACCTTAAAAAGTCCAACTGTTCACTTTGTTCAGCTGTATGAGCAGTAGGAC